ACTCATTTCACCCACTTTCATTTGTCAGTCTGGATGGGTTTTGTCCTGGTGCTTCAAAACATTTCAATTGGTTGAAGGTGTCAGGAAACCTTCTTATCTGCCCTAGAAATTCTGTCAAAAGTAAAAGTTAGCCACTTCAAAAAGGGCAAAGTGCCCTGAAAACCTCTCTGAGGTGCACAGGAAAATAATGACAATTCGAATTCTCACACCTCTGGGTTGGTTTTTGATTTTTTCTTTAATTTTCTTTTTTTTTTTTGCTTCTCATTCTTATCAGCAAAAAGAAACACAAAAGACATGAAAAAGAAGATTGAAAGTAGATAAATGATTCTTTCACTAAAGACCCACAGCTACCTCAGTGCCATCACAACCAAGCACCAAAGAGCATCCCATTCACTGGGATGATGCAAGTATCTCCTTTAACTCATAGCTCTAACTATCCTTTCTCCACAATGCCATAAATCCCAGGCATTCCCAGCACATTGCATCCTTAAACTAGTCTCTCTTTGCTCTCCCAGGTTACTACCCAGTTTCTAAGCTCTCTTAACTATAAAAGCTCTTGGGGTAGACGTGCCTTGAAGGTCTAGAGACAACTAAGCATTTGAACATCTGAGTATTACATTCTTGGTTTTCCTAATTAAACAACAGGCTAGAAAACACCTTCATCTTCTACTATAATATGCCATTTGGCAATTCTCCCAATTTATATATGCAGCTGGAAATGACATAGTGCTCAGGGCACTTGGTGAGCTCTGTTTGTCCTGTTCCCCCCGATCAGCCTCTATCTAAGTTTTGCTAGCAGAAAGACAGGCACAGGAGAGAGCCTAGGAGGTTTTAGCCTCTGCCAGTCACACTGCTGAGGTCAGAGTATCTGATACAAAAATGAAGTAAGCAAGTGAAAAAAAAACTCTTGTGTGAAAGACTTTCCCAGAAGTGGCAACAGGGAGAGTTTTCTGGCCTGTTTTCCAGAAAACGTAAGACCAAAACAAGCCTACTGAGCATCTTGTATCCATCCACCTATGCCAGTTCCTTTTTGGTGAACCGTGGCAACAATTTGTTAACCATTGGATAACTTCAATCAAATCCAGAGGAGAAGGCAATGCCATTAAGTTAACAAAGTTTCATGGAAGGAAATGACCTGGATAAAGAGAAATGATGCTAGTGACACACTCACCAAGGCAAAGGTCGTGGGGGGAGACCAGTGTTCCCCAGGGGAAAGAATCCACTCCCATGTCCAAAGTGAAACCAGGCTTGCCATCCTCCTTGGAGCTCCCTAAACTCATTCTTGATTGATCTAGGTAGTTAAAAGGATGGAAAGTGGAAGGAGCTTATTGTTGCTGCTGGGATTTCAGAAAGGCTGTTACATGACCCAGTGCTAGCACAAGTCTGCACCAAAAGCAGCAGCAATGAGGAGGGTAAAGAGGCTGTTTCACAGCACACCCCACCCTGCACATCCAGCTGAATGCGGATTTCAGACTCTGTGTGTTCTGATTCCAAATACAACAAAAGGGGCTTTCCAAAAGGAGCCTATCAGTAACTGGAAGAAGCACCTCCATGTTATACCAAACTCACACTGTGTTCTCTACATGTTGGTTGTGTTTCCTAGAAAAATAATCCTCTATGTTAAAAAAAAAAAAAAAAGAGCACAGAAAAAATAGAAGCAAACAACAAACCCCCACTTTTCTGGTCTTCCATCAGAGGTCAATGTCTATCAGAAGAAAAGGGGAGGCCCTAAGAGCAAGTTGTTATTAACTGTAATGTTTGATTACACATATCTGTGACATCTGAATCTCTTTTTGCTTTAGGTGTTGCAGGTAGCAATGGCCCAAGACAAGGCAGCTTGGCATTTTCTGCTTCAACTAATTAACACTGAGCTTAGCTAATGCTTATGCCATTTGTGCATGGGGTGTGTGAGTTGTGCTGAGCTGTGTGTGTGGGATCAGAGAAGATCCTCTAAGTCAGAAGTGCTTCAAATATTGCTTGATACCTCGAGAAAGAGAATGCAGAGACCCAACTAATCCCCAAGGGAAAGTCTCTAACAAGTGCCCAAGACATCTCTTTAGCACAGTCTGTTCACTGTGCTGCTAACAGTGAAAGCCTAGTGAAGGAAACAGCAATGGAAAACTCCAGAAGGAGCATTGGTACACACATGCTCAAGCCAAAGTGCTCATGGCATTGTCTCATTTTGAAGTGGCTGATTTTAGTTTCATGGTGTACTTTCAGCATGGTTTCTGCTGGGTTTAAATATGTGTATTTAATTAATATGTATCTAGCTGTATCAGAGAAGAAAAACCACCAAGTGTCATCTCTAAACATCTGTCAAACAGACCATGAAATTTGAAGGGATACATATTAAAGCACCTCGTCTAAAATCTGTATTTCAGTGTCTGTCAGTGTTGCTATTTAGAACACTGCAGTATGTTGACAAAAAAAATCACCAAATTCTTGCTCTTAGCTAGAAGAAATTATGTCAAACCTTGAAAATTCTCCAGAAGCCTCAGGAGCCCCAAAAGCAGTGCCTGTTGGGATCCATGCTGCGTGCTTCGGAGGCATGAATTAAAAAAGAGAAGAGAAATAAAGGCATTTCCTGCACTAAAAACCACAGAGAATCTCATGGTTAAAGGAAGGAAGGCAGAAACCCAAGGATTGCTTTGTTGCTGCCTCTCTGTCTATGCATCTTAGCCAAAACACAACTCTCTTTCTGGGGATCCTGGGAAGTGACACTGTGGTAACACACAGGGAGAGCATTGGGATCCCAGTAATTTTAGGTATTGTAAGGGAAGCCAAAATGCTGAACTCCTCTGGAAATCTTTCAGTAGCCCAAAGAGGACAGAGAGGAGGGAGGAGAACATTGGTGCAGTGTGATCTCACAGAGACCCATCACCCACTGAGGGAGGCACTGGGCTTTGCACTGGCTGTGCCTGACACAGTCCTTGAAATTCCACATGTAAAAACAGAATAAAATCTCTTTTATGTCAAGCATTCCACAAAAACTGGCAAAACTCTGTCCCTCTGGGCCACCCTGCTACTGATATTTATTTGCTGGCACATAAAAGTGTGTCTAACACTCAGAATTAGTGTCTGTTATTCTTCATATCAAATATTTGTTGATCCATGTTATTATGTCACTTCAATCCAACCATGCACCAGGTTAAATCCATTGGATGTGCTCTTGAGAACATGATCTGCAGAGCTACATTGATTCCCCATTTTACCTTGGTATATTTGTCCACTGGCATCAACAAGGAGGATGGTGTGAAGCTCTTGGTGCATATGCAATGGCTTAAAACAAGAGTTTCCATCACCAAAAAAAATGGTTATTATGTTAATGATAATGATAAAAGGGCTTCATTTTCAATTACATTCCTTTTACATATTTCCTTCATATAATTCTTACGTGGATAACAAATTCTTATAACTCTTTTTATTCTCTCAATACTACTGCCTTACATAAAGTGATAAAATAACTAATGTCACAGAAAAAAATCTGTATAAAATGTCTTTCTGGCTCACAGCAGCTTCAAAACTAAAGTACCTTTTGAGTCAGACTGAAAAATGAGAAGAGCTGACAGAGAAGTCAGTTCTCTCAAGAAAGACTTAGCTTCCATGAAAGAAACCAAAACCATCTCACAGAATTACTATGCCCACAGGCTGGCTGAGAGAGAGAGAGATGACCTTAGAAGAAAGATCACATCATGTCTGTACTTTCAGTAACTCTGACTACACTTCTGGAAGGATGGCACAGTTACACATTGTCATCTCCGTAGGAAAAAAAGCTCTTGATAAAGGAAATTGGAAAAGAAACAATTCTATACATTCTAATCCAAAACTGAAAATAAAAATATCTGGGCAAGATTGGCCAAGTGGTTAAACCAAAGCAATGAGACTCTTTAGTTCCCAGGACTGCCACAGGCACCAGTTGCAGCAGAAAACCAAATCTTATGTTTGGTCATCATTGCTCAGGAAACTGGTGAGATTGAGGTTTTAATTCTAAAGAGAAGAGGTAAAACTCCTGTTGTGTTTGCTGGTGAAATGGAAGCTTTTAACTCCAAAAACAAAGGCCAGAACTTCTGTTGTGTTTTCAGGATTGACACACTCTGAAAACAAAAGCTTCTGGGCAAATTGTTCTGTGGGAAAATACAAGTTCCAAGAGGTGAAACCCCTCAAAATCAAAGTTTTCAAATGATTAAAAAAAAAAAAAAAAAAGCAAATTCATGCCACATGCAGATGTTTTCACCTGTGGGTTCTGCAGCCACTCATGGCTTGATGTGCTGCTAACGAAACAGAATGCATAAATCAGCACTACATTCATTCAAGACTCTTGATATTAACTCTTACATTGATAGCAAGAACCACCTGATCCTGAGACATCACCTAAACTACCTTGAAACCATCAGAGAGAGCCAAGAGACAAACACTCAAGGCACCCAAACACTGTTATTACAGCTCAACTCCACTTGTCTGTTTAAACCAATCACAAGTGCATCATCTCCTGTGTCTATGATGTCTAAGGAAGCAAAGTTGGATTTCCCAGCTCATGAATCAGGGTTAGATACATGCCACACAGTCAGAAAGGGGAACTAAACTACCAGTTTTACCATCAAGGCATCAGACAGTCATGGCTTGTGCCAGAAGAGAACTGACACAACCAAGCACACAGAGCCATTAGCAGAAGACACAGCTGCCCAGATTCAAACAGCATGTTCCCAGGTGCTAGAACAGGGAAAAAACACACAAATCCAGGCCAAGCTTACCTCCAGAACAGGAGCCAAGCTATCCCAGGACCCTGTGCCTGCACAAAAGTCCAGTATTTGTATTATTTTGTGGTTTAGGACATAGCTCTGGAGACTCTGTATGCTACTGTGAACTCTTCCCTCCCACACCATTCTGACCCTCAGATCAGCATTGGCATCACCTCTGTGTCAGAGTTGGTTTGTCCAGAAATCCCCAACCTCAAAATGTTCCCATTTTCCCATCCCACAACCCTGACAAGCCACACACACCATCCCCACCCTCTGCTCTCCCTGGCAGTGCAGATCCCAGCACAGAGTTCACTACCCAAGTGCAGAAGCTGCTTTAATTTAATCCTGGATGAAATGCAATTTGTCAAGCAGTAAGCAGATGTTTTTCCTTACAATGCACCCCCAGGTGACATTCCAGTCACCCCTTAATGGAAGGGTGTGTTATCCAGGACTGTGTAACACACTACAGGACAAAGCCACTGTGCAACACCTTCTTTCACTACAACCCATTCCTGAATCCACACCCAAACTGCTCCTCACAGCACGTGGCTGACAGGAGCTCATGCAGGGCATTGGTCACTACTCCAGCTGCCATGCAATGCAGAGATGTTGGGGACATGAAGAAACTGAAAGAGAAGTTCCACAAACAGCAGCATTTTCAGGCAGTTTCATCTTGCAAATAAGGGCAGGGTCACACAAGCCACAACCACCAGATCGAGACGAAGGGAGGTTAAGCTGGGTGAGCAGGTGCAGTGCCACTGACTTCTTTCACCTGTTTCTAGTGGAGATATCACACCTTCCATACTTTATGAGTGTAACAGACTGCATGTGTTCCCAGCTACCAACAGACTTTGAATCCAACATCAGTTCTGTACAGACTGCATGTGTTCCCAGCTACCAAGAGACACTTTGAATCCAACATCAGTTCTGACCTGCATCCACCTGACATCTCACAGGAACAACCTACAGCACTTCCCTTTCTCTGCTCATGGAGTGCAACAGACTTGCTGGAATTTAGTTCAGGATAAATTCAGAGGTTTATGCTGTCTCATGTTTTGTGTTTGAAGACAAGCCAGTAAAAATGTTGAATTTAGCCTATTGGTTGGTTATCCAGGTTGGCTAAAGCCTTGAGCAACCTGGTCTGGTGGTAGATGGCAGATAAGGTCCATTCCAACCCCTAAAATTCTATGATTCTGTGAAATTTGACAGATTTTTTTCTTTTTATAGTCATTAGATTAATTTCTTTTAAAATTAATATTCCCACTAATGACAATCATGGGACCAATTCCATTCACTTCACCCGATACACAACCCAAAGTCAAACTCATCATGCTCTTCCATTAAGAGTTCATAAACTCACAATATTCCTTTCCTTGCTTAAAACAAAAAGTCTCTTCATACATTTGATTTAATAAATAATGTATTTGATATAAAAATAGCAGTGAGTGCCAAGAAGCTGCACAAAGCGAATTCATTCTCTCCAGTTAGTTCCCAGAAATATTTTTCTGAGGCAGGAATTTCTGTGTCAAGCTTATTCAGGGCAAAACAAAACATCAGGTTTTTTTGTTTTTACACAAGGAAAGCAAGATCAGCTTCTAAAGTTCAACCAAATGACACTATGCAATGTATTTTGGTTTGGTACAATTTAAAAACTCCCCAAATGTTTTTGGTTTATCTCCAAGACACTTGGAAAAGCAGAGCCAAAGGGGTCTGGCTAATATTTTAAGGCATTATCTAGGTTGTTAATGAATCAAAACTCATTTTATTTTGAACATGTTTTTTCACATTCACAGTTCCTCTGCTATAACAGACCCTGTAGCTACAGACTTTGCACCAAAATACATTGGATTTTTTAAAATGTTCACTAAATTATTGAGGAACTCAAGTTTAAGGCACTGGAAAATAACATGTCATGGTTCAAACATTTGGAAACTAATGTATCTGTATCACTCCACTGAACCAATTCCTCACCCAGGGTTCAGAGTCAGTGCCACACTGCTGGTCCCTCAGCTGAGGTTACTCTGCTACTGTGGCTGTCCCTAGTCATCGGGTTCAGAGTCAGTGCCACACTGCTGGTGCCTCAGCTGAGGTTACTCTGCTGCTGTGGCTGTCCCTAGTCATCCTGGACACAGCCCTTTAGCCAGCCCCAGTGGGACACTCATGGAGCTGCTCAGAAGTAGCTGTAAAAGGCAAAAAAAGACAAGTGAACAAACATAGAGGACTATACGAACTCCCCTATCTCTGTCCTGGTTGCTCATGCTCATGAAAACCAGGAAAAGAAATCTGCTCAAAGGTTTATTTTTATACAAATTGCTTATTTGGGAGTTGTTTCCACATCCTGTGCCCATCCCTTCCCCAGGGCCATCAAGTCAGTGGTTCACAGTGTTGAGGCAGCTGGGGTTAAATGTGGAGCTGCTCCCTGGTGTCCTTGTTGGCTTTGCTCTCTCTCTGTGGAGAAGCTAAACGTGAGGCTGGTGAGTTCTGGTTCCTCCTGACACTCTGGACACTGAGTTCTGGAATCCAAACACAGAAATAAAGAGGATATTAATCAAAGAATGCCAACATGTTGATGGAGACTGGTGAGCTGAACATGCTTTTTGCCTATTATCCAGCTCCAAATGCTGTTCTGTCTCTAGTTTACACAGCAGCAGCAGGAAAATGTTTCCTGGTGGAGATAAGGAACTAATCTTTCAGGCATTTTCATTTGCTCAGCCCTCAATAATCATCACACCCTTTAAAATGGGACCATGATTTCTGTCTGTGCAATTCCCAGCACATCTCCAGGGACTCTGGAGGTTGTTCTTACCAGGTGAGGATGGTAAGGCTTCTCTTCCAGAGAAGCTCTCAGATCCAAACTGCTGAGCATGGCGTTGTTGGAAGGGACAATATTTTCCCAGCCAGCCAGGCAATGCTGTGGAAAGAGATGGGAATGCTGCACTGGAATGCTTTGTCCTTTTTTATCTGTTGTGGCCCATCAATTATAAATAACAACTTACGCAAAGGGAGATTTTAGTGGGAAATTAATTAATTTTTGAGGAGTTTTATATGGCTAACAGGAAAGAGATGAAATCTCCAATGACGCAGAACTGCACAGCTGTCTCCTCTCCCACCTTGCACCCATTAGCTCTAAACTGATTTCCTGCTTTGTGAACTCAAGCACCTGACCTCTCTGAACCTGTCTCAACTGACTCATCCCACTCCCTAAACCTCAAAATCAAGCTTCCTCCTACCTCTCCCCTGGAAATCTCTAGGCCAGGGCTGTCAGAAAAGCAACACTGCCTGCAGCACTGGCTGTTGGCTGGAGCACAGGACCAAGTCTACAATAACAGTTTTCAATCCACTCTTGGCACTACTGATTTTATCAATAGTTCATGGACATTTGCCTTTCAGACTCCCTAACATCTGTAGAAGGAAACACAGGCACTCTTAGGTATGATTCATTGTGCTGAGAGGTTCAATGCCTCAAATAAGTCAGCCAAACCTGCCCCAGGATGCAGCTCCATAATGGCACTTTCCTTTTTGTTGTGTGAAGCATCAGAAATCTGTCCCACACTTGCACCAAGGTATGAACTGAGAAAACACCGATGGTTTTTCTGGCGATCTCAGTGACGCACATCAGAAACTTCAGTGGAAATTTTGCCAGGATAATGAGTCACAAATGCTCTTTCCTTCTTGTGCTATAAAGCAATGCCCAGCCCGGGCTGTGCCAGCAGCATCAGCAAGGAGACAACAACTCACCAAAGGTAATGCCAAATTGTCTGTCAGCTCAAAGCTCCTCCTGCGATGGACTTTGTGCCTGTAGACAGGCATGAGAGTAGATCTGGGAATGCTGACCCTGGAATCACACAAGGGGAGTAATTGTCTACACCTCTGACAAGGCAGAAGAAATTTGCATGCCTTTCCCACTCAGAATCCAAGGGTCTAACCCCAAAGTGAATCCAAGGGTTTAACCCCAAAGTGAACCAAGCAAAACAGTTATGGATTAGGGCATTAAACACTTCAAATTCTGGACCCAAATTGGGATAAACCATGCATTTTTCATGTTCATTTTTCATTCATCATGCAAAACTGTTAGTGCTTATGGAGAAGATCAGTAGGGATTTTTTAAGCAAGACATATCACTGCCTTGAGAACAGCAACATTCTACAGAGTTACTGTAAGGCTGTTTTCTCTTTCACATGATCAGCTTTTTCTTCCCTATTGTTTCCTCCAGTTCTGCACATTCCAAAGCAATAACTCTGATTCACCTGACAAAGGCTGGTTCTTCCAGTGTCCCTGGGGGCTGGTGGGTCCGTGGGATCTTACACACAGAGCAGGCAGAGTCTGGCTCCACAGGGACAGGGAAGAGGCGCTGGTTTAATCGGTAACAGTAAACACCTGCACAGAGCAACAAACCCATCACTGCACCTCCAGTTTGTCAGAAGGTTCCTCAAAGCAGCCAACAAAGCTGTGTTCTACCACAGTGTCACACATGCTTTCTATACAAAGAGCTGCTTCTCCTGAAATATCTTTCATATTTCCTCTCCCCAAGTTAAGTTCCTAAAAAGCAAAACCAAAACTTCAACCTCCTCAACCTAAAACCAGAACATTAGCCAATTACAGAATCACAGAATAATCAGAGGACTCTTGATGATTATCTAGTCCAACTCCTTGTCCCTGCACAGGACATCCCTGAGAATCACATCATGTGCCTGAGAGTGTTGTCCAAACATCTCTTTAGCTCAGTCAGGCTTGGGGCTGTGACAACTTCCCTGGGGAGCTGTTCCAGTCCCCAAATACCCTCTGGGGAAACACCCTTTGCCTAATCTCCAGCCTAAACCTCCCCTGACACAACTTCAGACCATTCCCTCGGGTCCTGTTACTGGTTGCCACAGAGAAGTCAGTGCTGCCCCTGCACTTCCCTCCGAGAAAGAAACCCTTCCTTACAAGAAACCCTGACAAATTAAGATAATACTGACTGAGAGAGAATTCCTAGAAGACTCAAGTATATCTGGAGTAGGAACTTGAATCTGGCTGAGAAGCTGCAGCTGAAAATAACACTTTCTTTCTTGTCCTGCATGATGTGGTGCTCCCCAGGGATGATAGGTGAAAACTGCTCAGTTGTTTTTCCACAGAAATTGGATTAGGAATAAATGTGATCTTACACTTATGGGAACTGGTTAGCAAATCTGGTTCTCGTTCAGGAACTGTGCAATCCAGAGCCTTGGGCCTGAAGAAAGATGCAAAAATATCAGTCAGTGACAGGAGACAGCTCCCCTTGCCTTTTCCAAGCATGCATTTAGGACTGGGAGGTGAATAAAGGCCCTCAAAGCCATCCTTACCCATCCCACTCCAATCAGACTCTGGCTCCCATCACTAAAGGGATACATTGCTGCTTCAGCCCTTCACCATTCCCACTTACTCCAGGTGCTGCTCATGGATACAGTCCTCTCTGTTGGCCTGTCGAAACTCCTGCAGCTCAGCAAAGTATTGCTCAGGCTTTTCTGCTACTGAAGAGTTTGTCTCAAGGAGCCCTGAGAACACCAAGGAAAGTGAAAAGTTCAAGGATTTACTAAATTTTGGAAAGCACCAAAGCAAATCTCACAAAACCCTGACAAAACAAACCAATGATGATGAGAAGAGCTTGCCAGCAGATCAAGCCAGTGATTTACTGTTTAGTTTGAGTCCCTTAGTGCATTCATTCATTCCAGTTATTTGCTAATCCCTCTGACTGACTTGGCTTTGCCATTTGCTGCCTAAATTCCCACACCACTGCTACTTCACCATTCCAGGGAAGCACAGGTCACACCTCTGGTCTGGACACGGAACAATCTCTGACAAAGCTGCCGCCTCTCTGCCGAGACCTGCTCTGTGGCTCTGGGACTGCAGTTCCCTCACACCTCAACTTAAAGGGGTCACAAACTGTGTTCTAACTCCTTTTAGCACCACACCATGCTGAGAGCTTTGCTTCAGTGTTAGGATTCACCTGCAATCCAGTCATAGCCCAGGAAGGGACGTGCAGACCAGCTGCTCACAGGGATGGCATCTTCCTCAGGGTCAAGCTGAAAAGTCACATGACGAGTTTCCTTCTGAAAGAAAACAATTCATAAAGACTTCCTAATCTTCCAGCAGGTCATTCACAGGTACAGCTGAGAAGACAACTGACAGCTAGCTGTTCAGTGGGATGGCTGTGGCTTAGTTTGAGGTTGGATTCTACCTACGCCTCTATCAGTAATTTGCTCACTTTTAGTCTTCTCAATAAACAGAAGGAAGCAGTAGGGTCTTGCCCAGTTAAGGCAGGTTTGTTCAGAGCTTTAAACACAGTGCTGACCTCCATGCACTGCACATCCCCAAAGATCAGGCTACCTGCACTGCCTTGGAGGATGATCACATCCAGAGACTGCCCCTCACACCTAAGGAAAACACTCTGAAAGCAGCCAGCTGTTCTCCCTCAGCATATGGAGGTAAAAAACAGGGAGTCTCACAGTGAAGTGTGACAGTTTTCTGGTCTTCAGTTCAACAGCCAAGGAAAGCAGGGCCTGAACAAACTGCCAACAGCCCCTGGCTGCCACACCTGGGAATGGTTCTGACCCCAGTTGACACAGTGAGAATAGAGCAAGTGATGTTCTCCTGGCCCTTCCTCCCCATCCTTCAGGGGACTCAGGAAAATAAGCCAAGAGTTGGTTTGACATTTACCTTGGAACCTTTGGACTGAGATGTCAGCAGGATTGACTTAGGGGCTCTGGGCTCTCTGACATCCCCATGCTGCTCACTGGTCTCTTCATTTTGCACTCTGCCCAGTGATGGGTCTGGATGATTTTTCTCATGGAAACCACAGAGCAGAGTGGACTGTTTATTGTTCTCTCCATGTCCCAGGAGGGAGGATTCGTTCTCTGGACTTTCCCCAGTGTGACCAACCCTATCCACTCCAGAGGTTTCTCTCCCACACATAATGATTGCAGACACTGGTGTAACATCCTCCTCTTTCCCAGGAAAGTTGGAATCCAAACCTGCTGCTTCCTGTGTCTTCACTTGTTGTTGCTGTACCTCTCTGTCACTGCTGCTGTGTTTAAGAGATGAACAAAGAGCTGCTGAGGCTGCACAAGCTCTGGGTTCCACAGGCACCAGCACTCCAGGGTCAGCTGCAGACTTCACAGCACCAATCTGATTTTCCTGCTGCAAAGGACAGAGACATAACACAGAGCAGCACTCACATTACTAATACCTTTCATTAGGACATTTCCCTCAGCATGATAAAAATCAATCTCCTCTGTACACCCCTTTAAATTCCTGAGGGAAAAAGAAAAACCCTTATCATTATTCACGAGACATTACTAAGTATTTGGAGAAGATAATAAAGGGACCCACTTCCAGCTAAAGGCAGCTTTTCCCAGTTTGAAGAACCACTAAACTTTCAGCCCTTATGCTTAGAAGAAATGAAGGGATTTTATTCCACAATGTTCATTCCTACCTCAGATGAAGAAACCTACATGTCTTAGGCAGGAACTGATCTCTGAAGCCATTGTAAAGAGAACAGATTGAGACCACAGGATAATCAATAACCAAAGTGTAGCTACTTTTCTAACAGGCTCCATATTCCACACTCCACTTTCCACCAGCTCCTCCATGTCCATATATTTCCTTTACCACATCACTCTCTAGGCAGAGCTGCTGTTGGTCACACAAGGCCCATTTGCTTCCCAGGATTTCTAGCAGGCACCACACCTACCCCTCTCCTGGGCAAGGGGACAGATGTGTCAGCAGCTGTGCAGTTGGGAAGAGATGCTGGAAGGAGTGGTTTGCTGGGAAGTCTTTTTCTGATCTCTTCCTGCTTCGTTCTGAGCCTTTGTAGAAGGTCCTGGTTGGCCTGACGCAGCTTCTCGAGGAGCTCTAAGTCCATCCTAGATAAACATTTTCCTGTAAAGCCAGAAAAAGGGTGAGCTCATGAATGGAAGCATTTAGTGAGGAAGCAGACACAGGAGAAACCACTTTCAGGGGACTTTTCCTAGAAACCACTTACAGCTGTTGAAATGTTGGAGTGTTGGTGGTTGCTCCTGAGAAATCAGTCAGGCTCAAAACTCCTCATGCTAAGAACTGGCACAACTGCAGGATTCTGTGCCTTGGGATGGACTCTTAAGCATCTGACAAATACCAAAATTGGCAGCTGGCTGAACAGAGACAAAACACCCTGAGAGAGGAAACAGTAAACATGAAAAAGTCACATCAAAAAGCCAAATTAGAGACATTTAAACCAGAGGCTGATATTTAGAACATTTGCTTTAATGTTCCCTTTACGACTCAAAATGTATATTGTACCAACACCAGGATGCTCATAAACTCAAAATATCACCAACTAATAGGATTGTATTTGCTATATCCAAAAGAAACACTGAGTCAACACTGTCCCCTCCCAGGCAGGAAGGCCCCAACAGGCTCAATTATCACTCAGGACTAGGGCTCAGGCAATTCCCATCCCACAAATTGATTAAAGTAAGCCCCACAAAGGGTTTTTCATTAGAAGAGGGGTGTGGAAAGGAGTTAATAAGGAGATAAATCAATAAAGCCCAGTTTGACTGGAGGCTGTGACAGCTGCCCAACATGTTTACAACATCACAAACTCATCTAAACAGGCAGAAAGTGGATTTTTAAGTAGAACAGAAGCAAACCCTAACCCCAAACTCCCATGTTGCTTTTGACTAGACTGATAAATGACGTTTTAAAAACCTCCACGTGCTTCTCTAGGACCTTTAGTTCCCAAGGATCCCTAAACCCTTTTCCAAAGTTCATCTGATCTGTTTTTGTGGCTGTGTCCTTGACAACTGGACATGAGGAACCAAACACACATGTGGTACAACAGCACTGGGAGGAACAGAGAGCAGTGCTGACACCAACAAACTGCAGCATATCTCTTTGTTAAAAGGAGTGAGAGGTCACTATAGGACAAAAAATAGAAGTCTCAGTCTGAAGGCACTAAATTTGAGATAATTTGCATAAAACATTAGTTCTCACAGTATTCCCAGGGCCAAGCTAACAGCATTGACGAGCATCCTATCAGAAAGCAAATACTCTGGAAATAATATCAGTCAAGGGACTTTTTGGAAGGGTTTTACCAGATGAGGTCCACTCTTGGCATAATCTACATGAAGCTGTTTGGGTTTTATGCTCAACCCTTAGGGCTCAAGTTTATGAAACTTAACTTCTGTAATGGGTGTAAACTGAAAGAGAGGAAATTTAGGTTAGAAATTAGGAAGTGTTTTGCTGTGAGGGTGGTGAGACACTGTCCCAGGTTGCCCAGGGAGGCTGTGGCTGCCCCAACCCTGGCAGTGTTCATTCCAGGTTGGCTAAAGCCTTGAGCAACCTGCTCTGGTGGGAGGTGTCCCTGCCCAGGGCAGGGGTTGGGGCTGGATCATCTCTAAACTCCATCCCAACCCCTTCACACACTACGAAACGACTCTAGCCTAAACCTTTGCGAGAAGAACCTTCACTTCTCGCGGCTAAACACCAGTTACCCCTGGAGCTACAAACTCCCCTCCCTGAGGGAAGTTATCCCACACGGAGTTTCCGCGGGCTGGTCCCACACAAAGGCGCGGGCTGCGCTCGCCCTTCCCACGAGGAAGGGGAAGCGGCAACACTTCCCTTTCCCTTTCCCTTTCCC